TTCTGTAATTACTAGGGTTTCAATTCAAGATTAAGAGTAGTGGGAAAAAATTCTAATTGGTCTGATAGATCATCGGAAGAAGTAGTTACCAGATTTGGCCAAAATCTGAAGTGAAGTTATCACTTTTCCTCCTTCCTCTTAGCATGAGAAAGGCCTTTGCAGTTCTCTTTCATTTAGAGGGCATATCTAATTGTGGTCCTGGCATACTGCTAAAAAGAGATGGGCATATAAGAATTCCTGGGAGGGCAAATAAAGAACTTGCTTCAACTCTATCATTCAGTGTAAGTATGCAAGTAAGACCACTGAAGTTAAATGAGGCACAAAAATATGTATGCCATTTAGTCTAAAATTTTTAACATAATTTATATATTTATATTTATATATAACATTATATACATATAATTTATATATATTCTAAAAATATCTTAAGATATTTCCCAGCTGGTTTTCAATCTTAAGACAATGTTTTCAGATTTGTTTTAATAATCCTTTTAATATTCAGATTTAATAATCCTTTTAACTTCAGTCTATCCCTTTCGTGTAACTGGTTTGTAGATTCTGAAATGCATATCACAGGCACCCCTTTGATTATAAATCATACTTTTATTACTGTATTAACAAAGCCTCTTGGGCCCTAAAAGAGAGCAGATGGGATGATTAACAACAGCAGCTGTTACATCAATGTCCAGGAAATTACATGCATACCATAAATTATTTTAAATTTTACATGCCTCAGCTTCCCAATTTTTTAATACCCCTCCCTCTACCTCCAACACCCATCAAAACACAATATGAAGGTAAACTTTATAAGATGACACTGAAGTCATTAAGTGCCTACTTTGATGATTTTTAATCAAATCAATCAATTACTAGTTTGATTTTGATAAACTATATTAACCATTTTTAGGGTTAATAAATATAATTTTTCAAATCCATTACTAGATTCTGTGGGTTCTTTGATTCTTAGCATAATTACAGTTTACAATGCTCAAGTGTTTCACAAATATTTGAATTTAATCCGTATAATAATGGTGGGCGTAAATGCTATTATTCACATTTTACAGGTGAGGAAACCATACAGAGTAATTAAGTACCTTGCCCAAGTAACAGAACCTGGATGGATTTAAATCAGCCTTCAAAGCCCTTGTTCTTATTTTATTCTTCAATGTTACTCCTTAAGACACAGAAGCACAGCAATCCCCTAACCTCTTACACAGGCTCACAACTAAAACATTTATTGGAATATAATTTGTATTCAATGGCTTTTAAACAAGAAATTCACAGTTTAACTAGTGAGAAATATTGGAGTCGTGGCTTCCTGAAGATTAACATCAGAACAGGCAGCTAAAAAAATGGCTTACAGGTGGCATTTTAGTTTCCCCAGCAACTCAATTTTCCTGGATCAAAATCTAACTAAAAATAATTACGCTTTCTGTGGTAGAACAAGTTCATTCTGACTCCTTCCTCCTCTCTTTGGTTGGAAATTAGGCAAAGTACTTCCACACAGTCTTATAAGAGAGAAGTACTGATGCCTCTGTAAAGTAATCTGAGATCAATCAAGTCACAGCCTCTCCAACTTCTTTTAGAAAACTCTAAAAAACAACTCCTCACCCTATCAGGGCCCTTTTTGAAAATAAATCATCATTTGCCTACGTGACTGATCACTTTCAATGTCTGAGTATCTATTTTCAGATATTTGGTCTGAATATCTACCATCCCAGTAGTTATTTTTTTTTCATCCCAGTAGTTATTAACAGTAGCTCTTCTCCATGACTTATGGGAGAATTACCAAAGGAAAAGACCAAAAATTTGTTTTAAGTGAGAAACAGAAAGACTAAATTAGCAGCAAGAGTTATTTCTTAGAATAACAGAGACTTCATTAGACAGTTTTAAGCGGTTATATTAGGGTCAACAAGTACTTTTTGGGCTGGGATTATGAATTCCATTCCCGAATACAGTACAGGGAAAATTCTAAAGATGTCACCAAAGATATTTCCTAGAAACTTAGCCTCTTTCTGACATAAATGAAACAAGCCTCAACCTTTTTCAGACACATGCTACATAAAAAATTTCAAGCTGTCTTATTTAGTCACTTATATACTGAAATAGGTACTACAAAGAGAAGTATTATCCGAGATAGAATAGTACATAAATTCACAGACCTAGCACTGAAGAAGTTTTCAACCTGGAATGAACTGTACCAAGTCGTATGAGTCAGTATTCTTATAAAACAACCCAAAACATCTCCACTGGTTCCAGAACTGATTACTGATTTTTCACACTCCACATATAAAGATCAGTCTCTCCCCCAACACCTCTTAGTAGAAACCTGGATATTACTAAGGGAAACACCATTTCCTCCTCACATTTAGAGATTTAATCCCACAGAGGTACTTAGGCATTTTAATACAGCTCTTTAAAAAGGACAAAGCTTGTCATCTATGCAGTGATTTATCTGGCAGGGCCTTTTTTTCAACGGACTTCTGGCAGGATTTTCCTTAGAGATCAGAGGAGTCAACCTAACCCTTATAAACTAGATCCACAATGAGTCTTTGGTAATTAACGGTAAGTTTTGAGTTTATGAAAGGATTTGTGGGCGGGTCAAGGTCCTGAGCCACTCCAGATAACACTACTGATCCTAGGAGCAGTAAGGTTAAGGAAAGAAAAGTCTGTATCCCATTTCCTTATCTTGACCAATAAATCAGGCCGCCAGGAAACGACCACAAAACAATCCCGTGGGTCCTTGGGGTCACCACACGGCAGGGCCAAATGCCGGCCTGGGCATCTCTTCGCTGTCAGGGACCTGGGTGAAGCCACCACACCCCTCGCTCCTCACCGTCTGCCCCCGGGACCTGGGAGTCTGGCCCCTAACATCTTGGTACTCATTAAGGGCTCCCAAGCCGCGACTACCGTCACCAACGCAGGGTCTCGCCGGGCCCATTCTGCCCAGCTTCCTCGACCCTCGCTTGGCCTCTCTTCCCTCTGGGGCGCCCGCCCGCCCGCCCCGAAGGGTGCGAACTCACGGCCGCCGCGGCGCCGGTGAAAATATCCTCCCCCTCGGTGTCGCTGTCCCCAGCCTCGGGTTCTGACCCCCCGGCCGCCCCCTCGGACTCCCGCTCCAGGCCGGGAAAAGGCGGAGGGAGTCTCTCCGAAGCGCTACAGCCACCACCACTCGACGCCATCTTCCTCCACCCGCGGCGGAAGCCGCAACAACAACTTTATAGAGAGAGAGCGCCGCGAGCAAAACGTTCCAAAGGAACGAGGAGTGGGATCGTCGTGACCAACCCCGCGGGACGCACAGGGCGGGGGCTCGGGGGCGGGCGGGGCCTGGCCGCTGGGGGCGGGGCCGGGCGGCCCAACGCTCCGGCCCAAAGCTCCTACCCAACAAATCCGAGCCCGGCTTCGTGACGTTGAGGTCTTAACCAAGGTGGGGAGTGTGGCAGAAAAGGAAGAGCTAGGTAGGGGCTGCTCAGATTCCCAGGGCCCTTTCTGTTCTGGATAGCTTTAGCCAACAGCCTCAAGAAGATGTTCGAATAAAGGAGTTTGAGAACTCCTCTACATGCTACCTACCTATGCCAAGACAGTGCTCTCATTGAGATTCAGTAAATATTTTTGATTGAGGTATCTCAACAGGCGGCAGCAAAGTTTCACCATTTATTCTTTGGACAACATTTAGTTAATTCAAGAAATATATAGAACACCTACTGTGTGCCTGGCACCCTACCATGCGTTTGAAATACAGAAATAAGCTCCCGACCCACTAGGCACTTGAGGGAGACAGGCATGCAAATGAACAAATTCAACGTGTTCAGTGCTGTGATGTGCTCTGGGAGCACAGTGAAAGAGGGTATCAGTTATGCTTGGAGATGTAGGGAGGCCTCACAGGGGGTGAGACCTCAGTGCCCTAACTTTGGTTACAAGGAAGTTGGGGTTATCCTCCTCATTGCTGTGGAGTGGAGTGGAACAGATGGCAGGGAAATTCATAAATTCTGAACACAATTTTCCTGGGACCTAAACTATTCACTTGTTGTCTGGTGAGCCTTAAGTCTAAATCAGCCAGACAATAAAAGTTTAAAGATAAACGGGATATGTTAGCATAGGGTAATTCAGCAAAATGACCCTAACTTTCTTTTCAATAGAGAAGAGATGACATTTGGAATCAAGTCTGATAAAAGGTTTGTTTCTAATTGCAAATTCCTCAACATCAGGGATTGGTTCCCTCACAGGTCTATGAGCTGTTTGAGGGCAGGGGCCGCCTCCTATCTTCGTATTCTCGGTGCCTACACACCAAGTCTGGCAAAGTAAGTGGCCAATAAATGTCTGAAACTTGGAGGGATGGATGGATAAAACCAACATCATCAACCTTGTTCCTGGCATTCATCACAGCCACGAACACCAGAGGACTTAAGACATTCTTTTTAGGAGGACGATTTCCAGTATGTCACTACTGGATATCCTGGGCACGAGGAAAGGCCTTTCGTTCTAAGTTGTCTCTGAAGGCGACCGACAGAAATATGCAGCTCGTAGCGGGGAACTGTGCTGGCCTGAGTCCCTCTGAGGCGAGAAAATCAAAAAGTCCTCTCTTTCCCCGCGACTCCTAGCCAACTTCAGTGGACTACCAAGACCTTCCGTTTCACGGCAACGGAAACTCACTTTCGGCGTGACTAGGAAGTAAGAAAACTGGCTGGAAGCGGCTCCAGCCTCAGAGAAATAACAATAGATTGTCCTTGCACACGCTCCTCCAGCAAAAGCAAGATCTCCCTTCCCCTACCTCTTCAGGATTCATTTTCAGCTTATCGAGAGCGCTGAATGAGGCAAACAGTGGCGGGTAACACACCGTTACCTACCCCTACTTACCCGATATAGACTACAAATCCCAGAATACATCTCTTTGCCCCTTGGTCCCAGCACGCAATGCACCTCACGTGCTGGGAGGAATTTTTTTTTTCTCTTGTCCCGCCGAAACCGAGCAAAGCATGCTGGGGCTTGTGGTCTTCGCGGGCCCCTTCCCTAGGTCCTCCGCGCTACTCTGTCAGGCCCCGCCTATTTTCTGCTCTCCTGGACCTTTAGGCTTGTCTTGGCCCATTTGAAGACCAGGAAGTTGATAAATCGCGAGGCCCGCTGCTGAGAGACGGTGGCTCGGATGGGACAGTCGCCAGGGATGGCGGAGCGTGAGGATGGAGCGGGTGTCCGGGCTGCTCTCCTGGACGCTGAGCCCAGTCCTGTGGCTCTCCGGCCTCTTTGAGCGGGGAGCTGCCCGGCAGCCCCGGATCATGGAAGAAAAAGCGCTAGAGGTTTATGGTAACTAATTTTACCCAGGACAGCGTTTGGCGTTGTACGTGGAGATGGGGGTAACGGGGATCTTACCTGAGGGCTGGGGGTGGAGACTCCGGTTTTTGCTGGGTCTCGTTCGAAGCTTGGTAAGCCGTTTCTCCGGGGTCCTGAGTCATGCAGGAATGTGGATCTTTCTAGGACCCGGGCTCTTCCTAAACCTGGGGCAAGCCGAGCCTGGGGGTCTTAAACGCTTCATTTCCCTTGTCTGCCCCACGTCCTAGTGGCCTTTTCAAGATTTCTGGGCAGAGCAGGCATTTAGGGTGCTTGGTTAGGAAGCAGAGCTGGACTGATTGCACTACTTGCCTCCTTCCTTGCGTCCTCTAGCCCCTGGGTGACTAACGAGTTGGGGACTGGCCTAAGGGCACAGTCGCTCTCTTGTGCAAAAAAAAAAAAAAAAGGCAGAGGTCCCCGAGAGGAGAAACCCGGCTCCCCGTACCCGGGCCTCGAACTTTTAGTTTCTTATCACAGCCAAGCCAGCAGTGCAAAAACGAATACACACACACACACACAATCACATACATTGTTTAAACTCCTGGGACCAGCTTCATTGTACGGATGAGAAAACAAAAGTTTAGAATGGTTAAACAGCTACCCGAAGGTCACGCTGCCAGTAAAGAAACGGCAAAAACCAAGCCCATGTCTTCTGATTCCAAACTTCGTGCACTTTACACCATTTCACAATTGCCTTATGACTCCCTGTTTTTGGACTTATGTAGTATGGCTTTTGAAAACTAAAAAGACTGGCTCTAACTACCGTTCAGCTGTTCCTGCTGACTGCGGGTGAAAGATCTAACCAAAGAATACAAATAAAATGTGGGCAAGGATTAGGGACCAGGAGAAGGAGGCCAGGGTTGGAAAAGATCTTTGGAGCCAATCTAACTTACCCCTCTCTTACTAGAGGCAGGACTTAACCCCAGCTAGATGATTATGAGTAGAATGATCTCCACAAAATGGACACATTCCTGTACTATCAGACTTCTTTCTACAGCATCTCAGGACAGAAGGGCACTTGGGGATACAGCTTTGGAAGAGAGATGATTCTTGTCCTAAAGTTTATATCAAGGGAGACCTATATATGCAAAAATATACTATTTTTTATTTTATGCAGTAGAAAGCCAACAACCTGAATAAGAGATAGAGAAATTCAGAGGAAGGAGAGAGAGTAATCTCTGAATGGGGGATCTGGAAAAACTTGAGGAGTCACTTGAGTTAGGCCTTGAAGTGTAAGTATGCTCTGGATATTTGGAGGGTAGAAGGCATACTAAGAGAAAAGGGAGCAAAAGTATGGAGGTGACAAAGGAACATGTTAGAGAATGGCAGATAGGTGGGGCTTCAGGATAGAGATGGTAAAGCGTGGAAGTGTGGTCAAAAATTATCTTAGATACCAGGTCAGAACTGGATACTGAAGATTTAAATGTATAAAGAATATCAATGCAGGGGCACCTGGGTGGCTCAGTCATTTAAGCATCTGCCTTTGGCTCAGGTCATGATCCCAGGGTCCTGGGATTGAGCCCCACATCAGGCTCCTTGCTCAGTGGGGAGCCTGCTTCTCCCTCTCCCTCTACTCCTCCCCCTACTCGTGCTCTCTCTCTCTCTCACTCACTCTTTCTCTCTCAAATAAATAAAATCGTTTAAAAAAAAAGAATATCGGTGCAGAGCCATAGAAGAATTTTCATCAGGGGAGTAATGTGAGAAGAGCAACATTGCTTTCTTTCTAAAGAAATAAATCCAAATCTCTCAAACCAGTAGAAAACCAGAGAAGTTTAATAAGGGGTGAGACTTAATTTCAGGGTTAGGTAGCATATTAAAGAATATAATGCAGCTTGTATAAATGAGCCTTACAGGGAAGATGTCTAGGATGAGGGGCAGCAAATTTCTTTTAAAAAAGCTGTGTTGGGCGCTTGGGTGGCTCAGTCAGTTAAGCGACTGCCTTCAGCTCAGGTCATGATCCCAGGGTCCTGGGATCGAGCCCCGCATCGGGCTCCCTGCTCAGCAGGAAGCCTGCTTCTCCCTCTCCCACTCCCCCTGCTTGTGTTCCCTCTCTCGCTGTGTCTCTCTCTGTCAAATAAATAAATAAAATCTTTAAAAAAGCCGTGTTTCCCTGAGCCGCATGGTGACAGAGCCTTGTGAAGAAGAAGCTTTGTCTTTTCTTTCCTGCCTCCATTTTCAGATTCTGTGGCTAATCAAGTGATAAGCGCAGGAGTGGTTGGGGAGAAGGTGGAGTTTGATTGATTTGTTTTTCCCAGTAGCATTTCTGATTACAGGGGTGCTATCAATAATAGAACAAAACCTCAGGCTGGAGAACATCAAAGCCCATCCTATGTGGATTCCCTCTGCTCTCCTTTCTACCTCACCATTTGTCTGTTGTTCTCCTTTTCCATATTTTTCCACAACCTCAGAGTAAGAAGGAAATCTTGCCCTCTCCAAGGCCAGCCCAGGCTCCCACATCCTTGGTCTCATTCCCTTCTGCTTATTATGCTAGTCCCCCATCCTTCCCCCTATACTTTCAGTCTCACTTCCTCTATTTGATCCTTTCCCTTGGACTATAAAACATAGTCAAGTTTCCCTTACCCTTGTCATTGTTCTAGCTTTTTCTAAACCCACTATTGGTTCTTTGCCCTTCCCTTCCCTGCCAAAGCCCTAGGACTGCATTTTCAGTTCCTTCTCATTTCCCCTTTTGCAAGCTGGCTTCTGTCCTCATCTCTCTACTGAAACTGCTTTCTTATAGGTGATCTGGGTAACAAATCCAAAGACCTGTTTCAGCTCTCATCATTTTGAATTTTTCTGCTGCATTTAATGTTGTTAACCTCCCCCTGCTTCCAACTCTGCTTCTTGCTTTTCTTTCTTCTTCTGATCCCTAAATTAGGTGCTTCCCACAGGTCTATTCTTGGGTCTCTCCCTTTACATTAGTGGTTTTCAAACTGAGCTACCCATAAGAACAACCTGAGGAATTTTTTAAGTCCAGCCCATACTACAAATCAATTAAGTCGGGATCTTTGGGGGTAGGGCTTAGACATCAACTTTTGTTTTGTTTTTAAAGCAGTCCTGATGATTCCATTGTTCACCCAAGGTTGGAAAACTACCGTTCTGCTCATTCTTTGCGAATCCCATGGGTTCAAGAACCACTCTAGCTTTGTTGCTCTCTCTCTTTCTTTTTGGTTAATTTTTTAATTTTAATTCCAGTATAGTTAACATACAGCATTTTTTGACTTCAGGTGTACAATATAATGATTCACAATTCTGTATGTTCCTCAGTGCTCATCCTAAGTGTACTCTTAAAACCCTTCATCTATTTCACCTGTTCCTCCACCCACCTCTCCTCTGATAATCATCAGTTTGTTCTCTACAGTTGAAATTCGGTTTCTTGGTTTGTCTGTCTCTTTTTTTCCCTTTGTTCATTTGTTTCACTTCTTAAATTTCACATATGAGTGAAATCATTTTTTTGTCTTTGACTGACTTGTTTTGCTTAGCATTATACTCTCTAGCTCTATTCATGTCCTTGCAAATGGCAAGACTTCATTCTTTTTTATGGTTGAATAATATTCCATCACATATATATCAGATATATTCATAAATTCATCAATTGATAGGTACTTGGGCTGCTTCCATATCTTGGTTATTGTAAATAATGCTGCTACAAACATAGTCATGTATGTATCCCTTTGAATTAGTGTTTTTGTATTTTTTAGGTAAATACCCAGTAGTGCAATTAGTGGAGTGTAGGCTAGTTCTGTTTTTAACTTTTTGAGGAACCTCCATACTGTTTTCCACAGTGGCTGTACCAGTTTGCATTCCCGCCAACAGTGCACAGGGTTCCTTTTCCTCCACATCCTTGCCGACACTTGTTTCTTGTGTTTTTGATTTTAGCCATTCTGACAGGTGTGAGGTGATCTCTCATTGTAGTTTTGATTTGCATTTCCCTGATGATGAGTGATGTTGAGCATCTTTTCATGTGTTTAGCCTTGGTGCTCTCTTAAACCTTATGTCACAGTTCAGTATTTGCTGGACTGTCCCATCGGGTTGCCCCTTAAGCACCTCAAAATCATTATGTATAAAATTGAACCCAGTTGCCCCAGCCCCCACCCAACTTTCTTCCTGTGTTCTCCAGTTTTTTTTTTTTTTCATTCTATCAGTGTTCTCCCAGACAGACTTAAAATCTGAGTCATCTTTCTTTTTCCCTTTCCTTGTCTTCTACATCTAAACAATTGTCAAATTCTGTTGATTCTGCTGCTGAAATTACTTCTCCATCTGTCCCCTCCTCTCCATTACTATTGTCATGTGCCTGTTTTGGGCCCAGCATTTTCAGCTGGTATCCCCGGCTTTGCTCTTAGCTCTGAGTCTACCAGCCAGTGGATGAGTTCCCAGCTGACAGTGTTATGCTGTCCCTGTTCCTCCCTCGTTCAGAACCTCTTGAGGATTCCCTATTGCCTGTGGCTGACTGTAAAAGATCCTTGATGGTCTGGCCCAAACTCTTTTTTTTTTTTGAAGATTTATTTATTTATTTATTTGACGGAGACAGAGAGAGCAGGAACACAAGCAGGGGGAGTGGGAGAGGGAGAAGCAGACTTCCCGCTGAGCAGGGAGCCCGATGCGGGGCTCGATCCTAGGACCCTGGGATCATGACCTGAGCCGAAGGCAGACGCTTAACAACTGAGCCACCCAGGTGCCCCTGGCCCAAACTCTTATATCCTCACTTATGCTGGGTTCCAGGCCGACTCAACATTTTTTTAATTAAAAAAAATTTTTTTTAAGTAATCTCTACACCCAACATGGGGATCAAACTCAAGACCCCAAGATCAAGAACTACATGCATTGCTGACTGAGCCAGCCAGGAGCCCCTAAACTTCTTTTCCTTTTCTTTCCTTTACCTTAAATGTCAAATATTGAAATTTTTAAAGGCTTGATTCAGATTCGACTTTCATAAATCCTGATACCGCAGTCTCCCAAACTCTAAGTTATTTCTTCCCCTTTAGCTTCTATGACACTCTTGTCATTCTTATGTTCTCTCTGTAATGTTGGATCCAAGAAACTGGTTATGATCTAATAAGAATCCAAGAAAACAGTTTTCTCAAAAGGAAACTAGTCATGGAAATTTCTGTGAGAAATCTGGGCAGTTGCTGTAATATTTGGTTCAAAAAAAAAAAGCAGTCCGTGTTTGGATTAGGACTGGCAAAGTCATCCTTATTGAGAATATTCATGTTTTAACATAATACCTTGTCTCTGATGATTCTTTAGATTTGATTCGAACTATCCGGGACCCAGAGAAGCCCAATACTTTAGAAGAACTGGAAGTGGTAACAGAAAGTAGTGTGGAGGTTCAGGAGATAAACGAAGAAGACTATTTGGTTATTATCAGGTTCACGCCAACAGTACCTCACTGCTCTTTGGCAACCCTTATTGGTAAGGTTTTATATATAAATATATTTTTAATTCTAAATTATTTTACTGATAGTGACCCAAAATAACAATTAGCATCATGTATCACACTTTATAGTTCATGGAGTCTTTTCAAATGTGTATCTTCTGTAGCCCTCACGGCCTATGAGAGAATTTTCCAGATGAGGAACCCAAGACTCAGAGAGTTTAAGTGACTTGCTCAGAATCACATAGCCAGGAAATGATGAAGCTGAGGCTCAAACCCAGGTCCCCTGACTCCAAACGTGAGATCTCCTTTAATTACCCCATGCTGCTTTTCTTCCCGGTACACGCCTACAATTAAGAGAGTGGGTGTGGGCCAGTCCTCTCCTCAGTTCTGGGGATTGGAGTGCGTGCTGTCAGACTAGCCCTGCTGCCATCACCTTCTTTTCCTTTCGCTGCTCTGTTGGCTTCAGTGCAGTATGGGGCATAAGTCCTAGTAGGAGAGTTCTGTTTTGTTTTAAGTTTTTTATTTGGGAGGGTATTTTTGAGGTAGTTTTCTATTCGAGAGGCTGCATTCCCAATATTTTGGAGTAGTCAGCTGTAAGATATACAAGAGATGTCTTTGAAGATAAAGGAGGGGCGCCTGGGTGGCTCAGTCGGTTAAGCGTCGACTCTTAATTCCTGCTCAGGTCGTGATCTCAGGGTCGTGGGATTGAGCCCTGCTCGGGCTCCATGCTCGGTGTGGAGCCTCCTAAAGATTCTCTTTCTCCCTCCCTCTGCCCCTCTCCCCCCCATCTAAAAAATAAGTAAATAAAGAAGATAAAGGAAGTTTATTTCAAACCAAATGTTCATCAGTAGGGAATTGGTGAAATAATCATCAATGGTATATATTAACAATGAAATGCTATACAGGTATGAAAAAGAATGAAAAAGCTCTCCGTGTACTGGTATGGAAAGATCTTTGTGACATACTGTTAAGAAATAAAAGCAAGTATAATATTGCTACGTTTGTGTATAAAAGGGCAAAAACAGCAATTTGTATTTGATTGTGTATGCACAAAGAATATATAAGAAATGGCCAGCTGTGATGAGGGTGGGTACTGGTGGTAGGAACTGGGCAGGTTGGGGACAGGGTGGGAGGAAGACTTTACTGTATACCTTTTTATATTTTTAAGTTTTTGAAGTATGGGAATATATTATCTTTTTAAAAATAGATAAGTTTGTAAAAACGATTGAAAAGGTAAATATTTTATTATTGCTTCCATTTTTTGTGATTACTGTTTTTCTCTTCTCATTGTTGATCTGGGATCCCTGTTAGTGATTTCCAGCGTATGGGCCACATCTTGAGGGACTAAAGGGTCCATGAATCCATAAATAATATTGTAGTTATTTATTTATTTATTTTTAAGATTTATTTATTTATTTGAGAGAGAGAGAACATAAGCCAAGGGACAGACAGAGGGAGAGAGAATCCTCAAGCAGACTCCCTGCTGAGCATGGAGCCTGCCGCAGGGCAGGATCCCAGGACCTTGAGATCATAACCTGAGCCAAAATCAAGAGTTGGCCACTTAACCGACTAAGCCACCCAGGCCCCCCAATGATATTGTGGTTATTAATATTCCATCCTAGAAAAAGCGTTTTTGAATGCATGCTTATTTTTTTGTCATTGGACAGTTTCTGAATCAACAGATACCAGAAGTACTGCTACTCTCTTGACGTGAAGGGAAATATCTTAAAATATTTTAATACATAAGAGTTCTTAAATAGAGGGTGTATTACTCTAAGAGCCTTTAGCAAATTGATTTTTCAAAAAGTAACATTTATTTTGTGTTTTTTTACATTACAAAAGTAGTATGTTTCTTGGCAATAATTTGGAAGCTCCACAGAAGCATAAAGAAAAAAATAAAAATAAAAAATCAGCTGTCATAAAAGAATGTGTGCGCTAGGCTAAAATTCCAGCTCTGTCAGGTCTGCCACTTTGTGGCCTTAGGCAAATTACTTAAAATTTCTGAGCCTCAGTTTCCTTATCTGTAAAGTAGAGATAAAAGAGTGTCAACAGTTATAAAGGTTAGATAATAGAACGCATGAAATAGATAAGGAATATTTTTTATTCTTCATTAAATATTAGTTTTTTTTTAATATTAGTTTTTAATTATATAGTCATAGAGGTTTGTGCTAATCACATCAGTATATCATTTTTATAACCATTTATACCACTTCTAGGCTTTCACAATTTATTAAATAATATGATGAACAACTTTATACATAATATTTTCATATATCTCTAGTTATTGCCTCAGGATAAATTCCTTTAATTGGAATTATTGGGTCATATGGTATAAGTATTTTTAAGCCTCTGGATACATATAAGTAAGTCCTTATTAAAAAGTTTCTACTCTTGGGGCACCTGGGTGGCTCAGTTGGTTGGGCGACTGCCTTCGGCTCGGGTCATGATCCTGGAGTCCCGGGATCGAGTCCCGCATTGGGCTCGCTGCTCGGCGGGGAGTCTGCTTCTCCCTCTGACCCTCCCCCGTCTCATGCTCTCTCTCTCTCTCTCATTCTCTCTCTCAAATAAATAAATAAAATCTTTAAAAAAAAGTTTCTACTCTTTGACCCAGGAATTAAGGAAATAATTCCATTGAAGAAAATAGTAACATGTACAAAACCTTTATAGTAAATTTATAATAATAAAGCTTGGAAGAAACTATAGTATCTATTAATAAGGAAATGGTACCAATATAATGGAATTTCTTGCTTCTATAGAAAATGATAATCAAGGAATCAAAGTATCTGAGAAATGTATGAAAAAACTGGAATGCTAAGTTGCATATTTGATTATGATTGTAATTATCGAAAAACCACGTTTGTGTGGACAAAGATTGAGAAAGCCCAGGAAATAAAAGTAACTCTAAAGGCGCCCGGATCCGATTATGGTAGCTACTTCAGATCTGTCCACTCCTTGAACAAAGTATTGTCAGGTTTTTTGGGACCCTTTTAATATGAGTTCCAGTTAAGACCCTTGGCTTTTTAGAAGTTAGTATACTAGTGTAGTAACCATGTTCAATCAACACAATTGGAAAAAGACATTAAAGGGAGCCTTCTTCCTGGCATCTAGCAGGGTTTTCCTATGAGCAGGTAGTGTGAAGCAGGGGAAGGCACCTGGGTATGCGTTCCAGCCTGATTGCTTAGGTCGTCACCTACTCAGAGTTATCCTGGTAAATAATTGCAAAAACAAGGAAGATTCAAAGGGGATGAGTGGGTAAGGCAGAGAAACCAGCTGATAGCCAGCCATTTGTGTTGACTTAGTCCAGATAAGAATAGCTGAAGGCAGGTGTGGTCCAATATGAAGGGCATAGGATTTGGAGTCAGAAGGTCTATATTTAGCTTCCAGCTCTCCGCTTGTCAGACAAATCACTTATCAAGGTTCCTGGTTGTAAAATGAAAATGATACAATAGTAATAACTAATATTTATTAGATACTTTTTATGTACCAAGTCCTATTTTAGGCACATTGCATGACTATTTATTACTCATAACAACCCTATATATAGTGGTACTATTATAATACCTATTTTATAGATAAGGTTACTGAAGCTCAGGAGAGGTTAAGTAACTTGCCTGGGGCCCCATAGTTTGTATATAGTGGAGCTTCTTTTGAACCCAAAGTATCTATCTCAGTAATGCTGTACTGCCTCTCTTAAGGATATTGATGCTCAAGAAAGCGCTTTGTGAATTGTGAAACAGTTGTTATTTACTATGTGGGTAAAACACCTACCAACAGTGAGTGGCTCAGATGATACACAGGTAACAAAGAGACAGTGTGGAGGGCAGAGGGAAGAGAAGAACCCTCCAGATATGCTTTAAGGCAGATCTTCTAAAGGGAGACCCTCTTAAACTATATGTTGTCTTTAGAGTTCTCTAATACTTATTATGAAATTACTGTGTTCTAGACTCTAAGTACTCTGAAGTACTTTGTGCGTAAGAACAGTTTGACTTATCTTTTGTGTCTAGGTGTAGATTTAGTTAAAAATTCCTTCCTTGTTTTGAGGTGGGGGAGAAGTGGAACATGGGCACGCTGAGGGTTTGTTCCAAGCTCAGTGTTAATTTCTGTTACAAGTCTCAGCTGAAGCGGGGCGGCGGGGGATATATATATATATATATATATCTAGAACTGTGACTTGGCATTGAGGTGATAAACTGAACTTCAGAGGATCTTGTTTTAGGGAAACAACTCTATTTGTACATTGTAGGTATAGAGGATTCCAAATTTGAGAAGTTTCTTGTGGTCCTTTTTAAGTGGCTCTTATTTGGTCTTAAATTTTTGCACCATCTGGCCTGTTGTGAGTGTTCAATAAAGTTAAATAAGTGAATTGACCTTTGCTTGAAGGTAAATTGATGTAGTAGAAAGGGCCTAAGCTTTGCAGTCGTCTTGGGTTTTAGTCCCAGTTGCCACTTTACTAACTCAGTGACCTTGGGCAAGTTACATTGTGACCTTAGTTTCATAATTTGTAGAATGGGTTTGGTAATACGTGGCTCACTGGATTATCATGAGGAATATGTAAGACTATATATATTAAAGTTGGTAGCATGGTGCCTGGCTCAAAGGAGACCTACACTGGATTGAGCCAAAGCTGTTTCCAGCTACTGTATTGTATGGAGACACCTACACACAGTTGTATACATTGTCAAGAATTAATAAGAGAAGAGATAATTGGGGCCTTTTCTTTTTTTTCCTCTACAGGGCTGTGCTTAAGAGTAAAACTTCAGCGGTGTTTACCGTTTAAACATAAGGTAAGGAAGATTTTGTTGTTTTATAACAGCTTTATTGAGATTTAATTCACATTTCACACAATTCATCTGTTTAAAATGTACAGTTTAACGGTTTTCCTATATTCACTGAGTTGTGCAACCATCACTACTATCAATTTTTTGTGGTTTTTTTAAAGATTTTATTTGAGAGAGAGTGCGAGCAGTCACTGGTAGGGGGTGGGGCAGAGGGAGAGGGAAAAGGAGACTCCTCGCTGAGGAGGTCCAACTCAGGGCTCGATCCCAGGACCCTGAGATCATGACCTGAGCCGAAGGCAGCTGCTTAACCTACTGAGCCACCCAGGCGCCCCAGTTTTAAAACATTTTCATCACCTCAGTAAGAAACCCCATACCCATTTCTCCAAACCTTCCTCCATCCCCAGGCTACCACTGATCTCTTTTTGGTCTCTATAGATTTGCTTATTCTGAATGTTTAATTTAAATGGAATCATACAGTTTGTAGTCTTTTGGACTGGCCTCTTTCACTTAAAATATTATTTTCAGAATTCATCCATGTTGTAGCATGTGTCAGTATTTCCTTCCTTTTTACTGCCTTGTATGATTCCATTGTATGGATGTACCATAGTTTATTTGTTGATTAATGGATGGACATTTGGGTTGTTTCCACTTCTTGTCTATTATGAATAATGCTGCTGTGAACATTCATATACAAGTTTTCGTTTGGGCATGTTTTCATCTTCCCTCCACCTAGGAGGGGACTTGCTGGATCTCTTGCTAACTATATTTAACTTTTTGAGGCACTGCTAGACTTTTTTCCGTAGCTGCTTCATCATTTTACATTCCCACCAGCAGTGTATGAGGGTTCTTATACTTCTGCATTAATATTATCTGTCTTTTTCATTATAACCATCCTAGTGGGTTTGAAGTGATAACTCATGGTTTTGATTGCCATTTCCATGGTGGCTAATAATGTTGAACATATTTTCATGTGTAAAAATTTAAAACCTTTCTAAGAACCACTTAGAAAGGGCCACAGGCAACCTCTCAAATTTAGAGTCCTCTGTGCCTGCAAGGTACCAAGCCCACTGTGTGGTTTCCTTGAAATATAGTTCATGCAGGAATAGCAGGATAAATGCTTGACTTTTCCCCTTTATTTATAATTTTTCAGAGTTGAATCATGCATAATTTTAAACCAAAGTAAATGAATATAGAGTGATTTTATACCTGTTGCTTTGTTGTCTGGAATAAGAGTTAGTATTATGCCACTAGCCGCTAGAGGAATTCATATGGTGTTTTGGCAGGGTGGAGGGGCAGAGGGAGAGAAAGAATCTTAAGCAGACTCCATAACAGTGCAGAGTCCGGCGCTCAGCTCAATCTCTCAACCCTGAGATCCTGACCTGAGCCAAAATCAAGAGTCAGCTTAACTGACTGAGCCACCCAAGCGCCCCAAGTGTTTTGTTTTTTAAAAAAGACTGTTCTAGATGATCTCTAGGGTCTCTTTTAGCCATAATAAGGTATGATTTTTTTCACTCTTGAAAAACATTTATCTTAGTAGTAAAATAACTGTGTAAGAATTAGTTCATACACTCCAGTGTTCTCTGGAGAGTAGACATGTCTTTATCATATAGCATGTTTTATTTGTCACAGGATTTTGTGGGTTTGTCTCAGAAAGTCTAGTTCTTGGAGGTTAACTAATCTGAGGAAATGCAGCAGGTCCAGGAGGTTTAGCTTAACCAATATTATACTTGAGAGTAAATTTAGCAAGATAATAATAAATGAGAAAAGGAGGATACTTAAATCTATATTGTGATCCCATTTTTGTAAAATAAGCAAAGAAAAGAAACTTCCAACTTTGGGGGGTGTGTGTGTATATAAAATCTGTATTCCATTATGTAGGTATGAAGAAAAATATGGAATAAACTACACTAGATCATTAGTATGACTTTCTTGGGGCTTAGGGTAGAGAGGAAGTTTAGATATTTTAGGTACTGATTTGGGAGGAAGAGGTAGAGTGTAGGGTAGAGAGATTCATGAGTAAAATATGTATGAGATCTCATTTGTTGGACTATTGGGATTTCATCAAGATAAAAAGCTTTTGCACAGCAAAAGAAACAGTCAACCAAACCAAAAGACAACCGACAAAATGGGAGAAGATATTTGCAAATGACATATCAGATAAAGGGCTAGTATCCAAAATCTATAAAGAACTTATCAAAC